CCGCATTGATACGATGACGGTCCAGCGACGCCGCGACGCTCTCTTCTCGAATAGATTCGTCTATTCGATGCTAGAAATCTGATCCTAATATCTATTACAGGCTCCGAAGCACTTCGTCCACCGAACACCTAAAAATTTATGTATGTTTCTCACAAGACAGTATGTCCGAAAGATACTTGAATAGCTATGTAAGGAATTTCGTATTTCAGGATCAAAGTGGAGGATATAAGCTGATGTTTCGGAGGGATCCGAGGATGATGAATTCTGTTAGTAGGGGCGGAAAAGTGATAAGGGGTTGCTCGAGTTCTTGAAGCCCTCAAGGACCATGGATTCGACCATGGGTTAAAGCGGAGATTGATACTAGGTTATTGACACTTGCTGTGTATTTAGGTGTGAAGGACTCCAGAGTTCTTCCTTATAAATGAAGTTTTGCCATCGTCGAAGTATGAATATTCCACTGCTCGAAACAAGGGTTGCAAACTTAGGTTTTGCTCCCTCGAAACGATACTTCAAACAAATCGTAATCAGGCTTCTATCCGACCAATTATTACGCTACAGAGACGTTAATTTCATTTATTTGAATTCCGTATGACTTCCTGCGGATGATACATTGAACGAGGTGTGATTCAAAGGGTGTACTTATCATCGCAATTACATCAACAAGTTGTACGTGAGATTCGCCTAACAGTGTTAGCCCAATACCGTTCACTGAGCGTGACGTGTACGCAATTAAACGGGATTTCCATTGAGATCTCTGGATACGATGCACGTCCTCGGACGTACATAGTGCCAGACACGCTCTACGATCTCGATACACACTTTTAAACGCGCTTCTCCCCTCCGTATGATCTTTAATTAATGCACATTAATCTCGTTTGCGCGGAATCACCGGATTCGGTCGGGCGCGAATAAAAGTAATGCGCATAATATGTATGAGTGTAATTGATGTCGGCAAAGGTGCTCTCCTTGTAATGAAGAATAACCCGTAATAATTTCTAGGTTTCGTATCGATCCTTCGTTAACAACGTGCTAGTAGGAACGCATTGTGAATTCATGAGATCTTACGACGTATATTCACGCGTATCGCGTCTAGGAAAGAATAATGGACGACTCGTAAAGAGTAATATCTACCAATTAGTTGAACGTAATTGGCATCGGCGGAGAAAAAGATTATTTCATAATTAGGATCGTAAATGTTTGACATTTGCCCGCCTCCTCCCTTTGAGCTATCGACGCTGTCGTTCGTGGCAATCCCATTAAATTTTTTTTTCCGCTAGTCGCAGCCGGCGTCTCCGCTCCGAAGAAGCGTGGAACGACTTTAAAGCGCGGTACAATATCGCGACCGTCCCGGACGGGTCTTAGTTAATGAGAGTTTCGCGTGTTCCGGAAGCTCCTCTGTCGCTGTCTTCAACCCTCTCCGCGCCCGCCCTTTTCCAACCCTTACGCCGCTCCCAAATTTTGCACGCACCTTAAACCGCAATTAGCGAACTGTGCCACTGTGGAGCTTGGCAAAAACCGTCCTCGGATCCGTTCGCAGATGACCAGACGCGTTAATCCATTCGGTCTGTGTTCCAATTACGTGCCTTGGTTCGACGAACGATCGAACTTAATTGGATTTATAAAAATTTTTTCGCGAATAATGCGAGACTGAAGGATGTAAGACTGCCTTGAACGACCTTGAGTGATGAAGAATTGTTTCGACGAGTATTTAGAAAAAGGACGGAACATCGTTCGCGGAGGGGAACACGGGTACGCTCGGCGAACAGAAACCGGCAATGCATCGTTAGGCTGGTATGGTTGGCAGATAAATGACGCGGTCGCCTCGCATCTGACGTGAATGAAGCCAGAATGGCTTACCTACGTGTCCGTCGGCCCCGTAGCGCGTGTATGTACGTACGGGACCCACGGGTGATCGCAATGACTGCCTAATGATACATTGAACCGCGTGTTTGACCGCGCGCGCCATGCTCCTCGTTCGGATCGACATTTTCCAGTCTATCGAGGATGCGAATCAGTTAGAAGGCCTCGGCTACGCGATGGCTAATATTCTCCACCGTGAGAATTTCAAGTAACGTCGCGTCCATTAACTTTTAATGGTCCGTTTAAAAAAAATATAATTTCCTTCCTCTGAGAGTAAGTATTATATCGGTAAAATATTTACAAGACGAATCGTTTTTTTCTTTAATTGCATTAGTTTGGTTGACGTTAGCGTCTACGTCATGCTCGCGGTGCACAGTTATGGTTGTTCCACCATGTTCGCCGCGGTCATTCGAAATACATCAGTGTAACGAAGTTTATTATGGTAGCATGTGCTACATTAGAGCATAACGTTACCGCGGCGTTATTTTATAAAGGCAGCGCGTCGCAAAAACAACTCGGCGAGGCTTCTATTAAGCCATTAGTATTATTATTCGTCAGAGATTTCCGTAAAATCTTCGCCTCGGCTAATACGAACGATTAACCGTTATTGCACTCTATTAATTTCCATGCTATTTCAGAATGCGGACCGCTTCGTTTATCGTTGTTTTGTAACGAAATCGTGGATACGATTTTATTGCTCGTATCGGCCGACCCTCGTTATTTATCCGCCGTTGCAATTCTCACAAACGTCGTTCCAAGGAATAAACCGAGTCTGTATCGCCCTCCCGGTGATAGTCGCAATCGGTTATTGACCACGAAAATGCGATAGACGGATCTGTGGAAAGAAACGAAGTACCGGGAAAATCGGCGAATGACGTAAAACTGGGTAACCATGTTATCGCTTATCGAGACTGTGCCACCACTTGTTAGGCTCGCGTCCACCTCTTTGTCATTCGTCGACTCGACTACTACGCGCACAATATCCTTTTTGGAGACGGTTTCGTATTAATTTTAAAGCTCGTTCGACAGATTCGCGAAATGGGTGGACGTGGGGTGTTTGGGCGTGTGTTTCTTGGCCGCGTGAGATAGCCGAGCGATAATAAATGAGCTTGGAAGTAGCTTGCCTAATTACTTCCTCGGAGAGCGTACGAACTCCGGCGATGCAAACCGCTGATATCTCCGCGAATTTTTCCCCCTTTTTTCCCTCGTGCCCCGTAGTCGGCTACCGGTTTTACAGCGCCCGCTGAATTTAACTGTCTATTAATTAATGCGCACCGATTAATTTTAGTCACGGGATAAAAACCCGCCGTTCTTTCCCTTCGCACTTTGTGTGTGGGAAATTATTGTGCCGCGGCGTCTGAGGCCTCGAAACCGCGATTCGATTTTTCTCACGCTCATCGACCGCCGCAATTAGAATGCTTCGGGTATTAGAAAAAAGAATTGTTCAAGCAATGCGTATCTACTTTATTCTTTTCAGATAACCGATGAAGGGGTGGATCAACGGCAACAATTATCGTGACATCGACGACCGATGGAAGAAGGATCTCGGGCCACGAGCGGCAGCGGTTCCTGGGTAGGTCTCGGTTACGTCCAAATAGAAATTCAATTGATCTTGTCCGGTAGTGTCAGGCAATCCATCTTGTTCCTTCCGCCGCGTCCGAAGGCGCGTCTTCCAGCCCAGGTCTCCGCGTTTCTACGATTTCTACGGTTGCGCGCCCCGCGCTCCGCCGTCGTCGTCGTTCGGAAAAAACCGGACAGCTGTCCGGCCGACCGCCAAACTGCTCATTAATTACGTTCCCCGAAACCAAACCCGCTCGCACGCGATCGTCCTTCCGTTTGTCTTTCCACCGCGTTTTGTCCTGCGTTGCGAAGAGAATTCCTATCGCCCTATTCAAAGTCCCGATTCATTGATTAAACGGAATGTGAACGAACATCTGTTTATTTTAGCAAGCATATTTATTCCCGGTTTCGCAAAACGTGCAATCATTTTGGCCACCTTTTTCAAAAAGCCTTACCGAGGTCTTTAGAGGCAACAATCGAATTCGCACACAGGTAGATACGTCCAGGTACATACAAATTACCCGTCGACAGCATTATGATCCGCCTGTCCGTTCCCATTCACCGTGCATCGAGGATAATAACGATTATTCTCGGATTACAGATTTTATCCCGGCTCGAGATATCGCCGGCCGATAAGCACCGGCCGCGATACGCAGCGAAACGCTTCTGCTACCGTGTTCGATATGCGCGTGCTTCCACACGGCTTCAGCTTAATTGGTGGTACAACTTTATTACTCACCGTTAAGTAATGACGGGGGCCACGCTAAGCGCGCCGGTTTAAAGACCATGAAAGGGACTTACCCGTGAGTGGATAACGTCGATGGAGAAGAGCGATAAAACGAGTCGCGTCCGGCCGGTGACGCCACGGAGGGGTGCCCCGCCTAATAAGGCGATAAAGGTCGCGATTCCGAGGCGATTTCCGATGGCCCGCGGCGAGATCGCGAAGACCGACGCTCATATCCGCCGTCGAACGTCTCGCGAATTTCTTTGTCCTCGGTACGGTCAATTTTACGACTCACAGCGGACGACTCGAGGTCGAAAGAAAGATTCTACAGTCAGAGACACGTTGCGCCGGTTCTCCACGGGTTAAAAAATCCCGTGGGCCGGCTAGAAAAAAGAAGGCCAGGGCGTTAGCAGCTACTTGCGGATAATTAATAATGCCGGGATCAAAAGTGTGCCCATTGAATGTTCGCTCATTCACAAACGATCATTCTCTCCGCCCAGGATGAATGCCGGACCGGGATCGTTACAAGGGTATTCTACGGGCGTGCCTCCGCTCTCGCCTCGCACGGGTGTCTTCAGGTCAATACCGCCGGTTCCCGGTTGAATACAATTATTAATGCCGTCATTAAGAGCATTTACCATTTTTTAATGCGAACGATCGGAAAGAAGTATAAATCATATTCCCGGTACGATCCCGCACCGCGTGCGAGCCAGCCTCGCCGCTCTCGTTCCCCGCTTCGCGCGATCCTGTTCCCAGCTTGTGATCTTTGCCCTCGTTCCTTTTCTTATCCTTCTCTTTTCTTCCCTCGACGATTTGGCAAAGGGGAGAAATTGGGCCAGGAAATGGGTTGGTGAAATAGATTTGCGACGATTTTATTCTTACATTGGCAAACATTTTATGACATACTTTCTAATAATCAAATAACTCGGATTTCCATTTTTTCAATGTACAAAGGCAACGCGTTTACATTTTCATTTCGCGTTTAATAAAGTCCTCGGAGATTTGCTGAGTTATCAATTTTTATTGTGTTTAACTGGTTCGTAGAAAATTCGGGACGTTCCATCCTTGAGAATGTATTTTAATCATGGTTAAAAGAGAGGCCCGCGCACGCCGGGGTCGGGGGACGCGTCTCGGCATAAGGGACACGTGTCAACGCGATAAATCGTGCCGATGTCCGGACATACGGTTTGCTTTGGCCGGGCAAATTCGGTACCACTGTATATAGAACGTGTACATGCATCCACGATATACGAACCATCCATAGGCGTCACCGTGAAGAAACTACCTTTTTAATCGATTTTCAACCGCCTCGTGAATTAATTTCATAAACCCATCCAATGAATAAATCATAATGAATGTAGACTCACAAGTCTGAATTAGAAACATATGTAGTTTCTGACATCGATACTCCGCCTGGTGATTTATAAAATTAAATACGTGCGGAATACAAGACCTGGTATGAAGGATTTTACCTTCTAGAATCATTAATTCTACTTGCAATTAATTCTCGAATTAATCAAAATCTATGTGGTAATCAATTTCCTATCGGAAAAGAACGGCCGTTTCGTCCTAACGTGACAAACTCGACGACAATGGAACAGCTACAATGATTCTTCTACTCTGTTCCGAGATGATCTCCAAAGCGGAGAGAAGAAACCTCGAGAAGCATCGCGGAGATTATATGGGGCGCGACCATCCGTCGCGTTTCTCTATTTTCCTTGCATCCATTCCTAGATCTCTCGTTCTCTGTTACTCCACGTGTAAAGTTTCTCTCGATTCCCTCCTGCTTTTCCCGCTTTCACGTTACGCGCGGTTTGCCTTGCCACCTTGGACCGATTATTTGTTACTTCCGTTCCTGGTAACTCGAATCCGAAGAGAAGAGCTTAGTTCTTTTAAAAGCTTTTTAGTAAAATCGGTTGCTCTACTTTCATTTTCATTTGAATTTCGAGATCTACAAAGTATTCTATTTTACTGAGATTCCCGGACCTTAATTCGGCGTTGCAATTAATTGTTAGGGTGAGCAAGGAATCGTTCGGGTTCGCGGAATCGATAAGGGTGTATATTCGTATCCGCCGAAACGTTCTCGAGTCCCAGCGTGAAAAATCGAGATCGTGGATCCAGGTAGGCGGTCCCAGGTTCCTCGGGAACCACTTTGGAACCACAAGTTTCTAGGGAGTCGTCTGGTTGTACGGCCGCGAAGAGAGGGCGTTATCGGACGGCTTAATCGTACGATTAATGACGAAGTACGCGTAAAAGTTGCCGGGCGAAGCGAAAGGGAAACGGGACGGGAATGGGCCGGCATGAATGAATCGTGGACTCGCTTTTTAAGAGGGTCCACGACATATTTCAATAAAAGCAACACGCGTTCGGCTGACTGATTGACTAATTATCGGGCCGGACCGAGCAACCGAGACCGAATCAATACTTACAGATCCAGCAGATAACGAGATGCAGGGAATTCGGATTTTTATCGGACCCGACTCACTCTCGAACCGTAATTGTGACTTCTCGGTTAATTAACGTGTCCTGAAATATATTTTAGCTCCGATAGTGCATGCTAAGAATTCTCAAAATCTTAGTTTAACGTACATACATTACTATAGTTTACAGAAATAAATTACGATTTTTCCTATCGAATATGACCGTAAGCAGCGTTTACACGTTTTCTCAATTAAGATTCCCGATTATTTTTCTGCCATTTATGTATTTTTATCAGAATTGTTCTAACTTCAAATCTCTCGAATCGCTCGCAAGGTTGACAAAATCTTTTCCATTAATCTGGTTCGTACAGATTTTCGTGGAAATTGAGAGCGCGGCTCGGCCAATCGGCAAGCGTTTCGTAATAGAATCGGTAATCAACGGCAATCGATTCGAGTCACGAGGCTCGAGCCGGTCGTTCCCTAATCCTCGAGCCAGGTGTCGAGATATCGAAAGGTGATGGAATGGCTCGAGACGCGTTAAATATTGAGCCGGTCACGAAGCACACGCTACGTCGGGACGTAATGAGCCCGAGGTTCCGAGTTTGTATCCTCCCGGGGATGATCTGGCCGTGCGAGGCAGATCGGCGCGGCTGCGTGCCACGGCGGCGGTACTCATTAGCGGCGGATTAATACGATCCGGTCGTACGGCCACGGAACTGGACAAATGCACGGTAGCCGTGTCCACGGCGACGCCGTTCATTCGTTCCGAATATTTTGCCGCGTTCGCATCCATCTCGTGGCTCGCGACCGCCGGAACTTAAGGTCTTTATCTGCCGATCTGGATATTAAGTTACTTAATCAGTGTCCCTATAAATTCGAGACAGTCGAATTATTCTTTTTCTCTACGCGATACAAATTTTTGTACGATTTTAAGCTTGACTCGATTACTGGAAAATGATGCAAGTTTAATTGCATCTTCCCGTTTAAGAAAGTCTCGGATAGAATTGGGAAAAATGAAAAGGTACGATAAAATGATTTGATTCGTTGGTATGAAATTTCTACGTGAAGAACCATGGCGAGGGGATCGAACGTCTTGCGTAGAGGTACAGATACGATTGACCAAGGTTCCTGTCACGACGGAGTCAGGTTTGACGCCAGCCGTGGGGTCGATTTATCAGAATAATGCACACGCCATTAACCCGGTGTCCCCGCCTTAAAACCGGGATCTTGATTTCGCGCGGAAATCCCCTGCTCCGGTGTAAGCCTTCGGACTTTCTTCACCCTGTAACCTCCCATTCGAAAGCTCGTAACGTCGCCCTTCGCTCAGACAGTAGGCTGCTGCTTCTTTTCTTTCTCGTCCTCTTTACATCCACCGACGTCTGTAACAAAAACAAATCCCTGCTGTTGGCATAATTTTTATTTCCACTAGGAAACAGCTCGATCGTTTTTCTTGCTCCTAATATTATTTCTATAACGAGCCAGTCGTGCCAATGGCCAATTGCACCCGTTATACGCGAGTTTCGTGTAAGCTCGCGACGCGACTCGCGTTTCAGTTCCAATTAAAAGCGGTCGGACGAATTCACGTCGGGTTGATTAACGAGCCCGGCCGTGGTATTTGTCACGTTGTTTACGAACCCACCCGAAAAGAATAAGTTGACCGGCACGGCGTATAACTGACCGTGGATAGCCGGCCTCCGGTCAGATTTATCGCGTTATCATCGATCGGCGTCCGTCCACGGAAATGGCAGAAAACTGTAATTGAAAGACACCGTTGCGAGCTCGAACCGGAAACTATTCGAGTAACGGTGGAAAGCAATATCCGCGGTCTGTCTGCGTGAAACTAATAGGAATCAATCAAACTGTAATGCCTATTTGGGCCGTGTAATCGTCCGGCTGAAAGATTCATCGTTTGGTAATCAAATTCGAACGCGGTAGGAGTCTGTTCGATGATTCATGCTCGCGAGAACTACCATCTGATTTTATTGGTTTAACACGTACCGCTTGAAATTAAATAAGAAAGCAACTTTTGTAACAGAAATTTGGCAGAAAATCTGGATGCAGCGGTTTGATAAATGGAGTGGCGACGAAAATATTCAAGAGGGGTTCGTATTTAAACTCTTTCAGCGGGGCCGGGGCGAGGTATCGATAAGCGGAAGAAGCCTAGCCGGTGTGTCGCGACCTGAAAAGCTTCTCGTACCGTGACTCGGCCGAGATTTATCGTTTAAACGCGCACTTACTGCCTCCGTGGAGGGTATTGCATCGCACACAACGCGACGATAAATCATCGAAATAAGAGCCGATGACGGGACGCGAGGAAATAACATTTAGTAGGCCGAGATCCGAAGGTCTCCGAGTTTCCGCAAATTATTTGTAAAAGTGGCCGATCCCACGAGTACGAGAAATAAAATGGGGAAGACGAAATGAATGGAGAGTCTCTCGACGAAGATATCGGTATTTCGCGAGAACCGATGGCTTCTCCGCGTGCAGTCGATAAAATTGAGGGAACGTCGCGTCGCAGAGCCAAAAAGAGAAAACATAAATCAGAGGAAGATCAAGTTTATCGTCGGGACTAGAAATCGTAGCACGTGCTGCGAGAAACGTTGAACCCTCGTTCGGTTTATCTGTCCACGAGTGGTAAAAACGTCCGTAGACGATACTGTACCCGTCATTCATACTTGAAATTAATGGCTCGTGCAGGGAATTCCTGTTACTCGTGTCTTCCTACTGTCTGTTAATTCGCTTTATCTATGTAATAGGAAATAATTATCCGAGCAGCAAAATTTCACGACTAGAAAACTGTTTCGAAACGTCGCTTAAAACTGTTTTTGAATAATGCGTTTCCAGGTTCGCGTAATTCACTCGTTAAATCTGACCGTGAAAACCCGCTGTGATGATAATGATTTCTATCATCCGTGCTCATGCACGAGTCACCGAAGAAAAGCCAGACGATGACGCCGATGCGATTAGCTATTTAATGCGAACCTCTTTAGCCTCGGCTAATTGATGCCCGGATATTAGCGTAATTGTAATTAAGCGAAATTACGGCAATCACGCGCGGTCTACCGTTCTCTCGACGCTCGACGGTTGCGAGAGGCTCGCGGGGTGATCCTCAAAGAAACTCGCCGACGTTTTCCCTTCGCTTTTCCCATCCCACCCTTCGCGCGGCCCCTTTCTATCGTTTATCCAACTATCGGTATTCGTGGTATGCGGGCCAACGCCTTTTGATGGATGCCAGCGAGTATGCGGATGAATGGTTTTGCAAATAGTTGCAATAACAGCTCGCAATTTTTATACCGATCCTCCGTCGCTGTTTCATAACCAAGTAGCGATAAACAAAAGGAGGTGCTAAGATTGAACGAGCGTTTGATGTTGCTAAAGAGAAATCGTGATGAAGACATGAAGCCCGGCGCTGCAACCGGAAAATTATCTAGACATCGATAACGATCGACCGTGCTCGTCGATTATCTCGCGGATAACGTGGAGAATCGTTGCGGCAATCGTTTTCGAGCCGGTTTTCGATGCCGAACCCGGCAATCTTCCGGTCACGCGCGATCGATTCGTCGGCGGAACGTGTTATTTAAAGAAGAGGAATCGACGGACAAACACGGCGGAGAAACGTTTCGCCGCCGGTAGCGGGTTTACGGAGCGTTGCGTCGTAGTCGTTCATCTGAGAAACCAACTTCAACCCCTCGGTCTCGATTCGAGTTCGCCGGGTCGGTAATTCATCCACCGCTTGGCTCGGGACCCACCCGCGGGATATACGGGATTAGGGGATGAAAACGACGCTCAAACGACGGCCATCTGTTGGACGGACCATGGAACTGCTGTCAGCGATGGTCGAACGTGTCCCATGGCCGGTAAAGGACGGCCATCCGTCCATAGACGGTCTCATGTATCGGTGGGTGGTCAATGGTAACGTCCCGAGGGATACGAGGATTATGATAACTATCAGCATGTTCTTAGGCATATCGGATTGCTGATTCAAAGCTCGAATCATTTACAAATACAGCATCGATACGTTATACGAATCTCATTTCTTATCCTCGTTATGGATATGGAAGAATGCGATATACAATATCAATGCCGATGTGATATCGAACACCATTCGCTGTTTGCGGTACCTCAATAAGAAACGTATCTTTGAGCGATACATCGTATCATCTACTAGGTACATAATCGGTAATGATTCGATAAATTGAGTTCAGAAGTAGATAACCCAATGGAATTCCCGTTGGGTAAAGAATGTAGATCGAATTACGCATTCGTGCGGAGATTTATACACCCTAACGGCGGCCATTCAACATTGGACGAAAGTGCGGACAGCTGGATCGATTAGGCCAGCGATCCCAGGCCGTGAAACGCGCGAACAACTGTTATCCGAGGTTTTTTAGCACCGAAGAAGTAACCGGCGCTCGGCGCGGAGTTCTGAGGATTTAATGGCGCGCGACTTCGAGTATCGCGGAAGGAAAACCATCCGGAATTGGTCCGGGAGGATTGATACGACCCGCGGAAAGATAGGAAAAGAGAGAGGTAGCTCGTTAGAGAGCCGCGGAACGACGGATTTATTATAAACGCGCCGCTACCGAGCCGGCACCGATTTTTCATCCCGTAAACACGGGCCTGATTATTTATGAACGTGCAAACGCACGCGGCACAATCGATTTCCACGGAGGCAAATTAGTCCCGGGCTCGGCTCGCCAGATACGGGCATTAAAATAATAACGCTCATCGTATTAATGGGTTATAATAATTAGGGAAACTCTTGCTCGGGCTGCGCGTTTCTCTTCTCTTTTTCCTCTTTGCCCCTCCTTCGAGCCGGTTTCCTATCGCCAGATTTATGATTGAATCGCGATACTCTCTGCCCTACTGGCTGTCACGCCAATGAAACGCGGAATTAATTAGAAAGAATCACGCGAGCGCGATGATCACTCAAGCATTTCGCGTGCTCGTTCTTTCCCAGGGGGGAGGGGGGAGGGGTTAGTCGTCTACGATCGGGGTTGATTTCTTGGGACATTGGTATGCGTGCTTCCGTGGTCGTTTCGTTCTCCCCTGCAAAGATAAAGCGAGGGAGAAACGTATTTCAAGGTTGGGAATGCGGTGTCAACTTTATTATCGCTGGTCGTGGATGTTGGATACGAAATGATTGACTTATACTACTGATTTCTTCATTTATTCAACAAAATGATGCCATGAATAGAACGTATCATTAATTATAAATATCGTGGCGATAATTCGAATGCGTGGACGAGTATTTTAGTTATCAGAAACGTCGTGTAATTTAAAATAGATGAATTCATTACACATTGATAATAATCAGACACAGGTTTTTCATCTTTCGATATACAATGCGTCCGATAGACTGTAAAATTCAGAGATGACGAACGCTGACGGGAACTAATTCCCACGATTATCCCGACGACGGAATAACTCGGAGAATCTGGGAGGAACGGAATTCCTCGAGTTAAGAGCCGCACGGTTGCGATCTTCGAGGTTTAGAAAGTTCGGACATTACTGGTAAGATTAGGGGCGAGAAAATTCTTCGCGCGAACAGCCGCGGCTTGCCGAGGGGTTTGTTTTAATGGGGCTCGATTAGCGAAGCAAGACGCCAGGGAGCCGTAGACGGCGAGCGGAGAGAGAGAGAGAGAGACAGAGAGAGAGGGAAGCGATCAGATCCGCGGCGCGTTTCTCTTGCAGCTTCGGAACGGGCGTCGATACTCTCGAGACCGGAAAAGCTACTTTCCGCAGAGCTGTTACAGAGTTCTAATCTTTTTACGCTCTCGAGCAAGAACGCGAAGTTTGTCCGTGGAAAACAGGCCACGGCATTTCTCGGTGATGCGTGTAGTTATTTTACGTGTTTTCTACGATGAGGGAAGAAAAATGGATAGCGAAGTATAATGAAGAAATAATCAAATACGAATAAAAAAAGTTAACAAGTAAATGAGAAGGATACGGTTCGTCGCGTCTATATTTCTTTAAATGTCGCGATTCTTCATCGAGACTCGACGGATCGATAGTCGAACGATCCTCGCGTAATCTCACCTTGGCGTTTAATTGAAACGATGTAAAAAAGACAATGATCATTTATCCATGACGAATTTGAGAGAAACGCGGAGTGCAAAAACGCAATAAACTTAACTCGTTTTACCACCCATCGGCCAGTGAGTCATCACGGTTCTTAGCCAACAGTCCCTGAACTAAATGCACCACAAATCGCCTAATAATTCATTGACTCAATCTTTTCGCCATTGTATCGGCAAAATATAATCGAACATACCTGACTACCGGATTCCAATTACCCAGTCGGTCGCTCGTCCGAAGCGCGATCCGTCCCAGCCAATTTCCATCGTCGAGGATTTGATCCGGGGCCAAAGAAAGGAAC